TGTGTGTGTGTGTGTGTGTGTGTGTGTGTGTGTGTGTGTTTTAAACAATTCTGTCTCATCTACATCTCCACTAAGTATTTTGTGTGTGTGTGTGTGTGTGTGTTAAACAATTTTGTCTCATCTACATCTCCACTAAGTATTTCTTGCACAAGTCAGTGCATTCTAAAGTTTTATCTCTGCTTTAATTCATTTTACACTAATTTTTGTCTTGGGTGCCAGTACTGGGGCTTGAACTGAGGACCTAGGTGTACTAATGCCACCACAGACTGACATTTTATTACTTGAGCTACAGCTCCACTATTGGTTAATTGGAGATAAAAGTTTCATAGACTTCCCTGCATGGGCTGACTTTGAACTACGATCCTTATATCTCATCCTCCTGAGTAGCTAGGATGACAGGCGTGAGTTACTGGCACCCAGCTTCATTTAACACTTATTTGTTCAGTGCCCATTATAATATGCCAAGCATTGTCAGTGAACCAAGACAAAGATAATAGTACCTTTGAGAGAGCTGGAGTTTTAGTAGAGTCAGACAGTAAGCACTGGATTCTTGAAGGAAGTAAATGACATGGTTTGTTACATAAGCTATGAGAAGTTGGATAGGAAACAATGGTAGAAGTGCTGAGGTGGAATAGGTTCCAGTAGTAAAGAGCTCATCAGAAAGGTGACATTTGAATGAAGCCTTGAGTGAGGTGAAGGGTTTTTTGAGCGGTTGTTAGTGGGAAAACATTCTAGGCAATTAGTGTAAGGCCTACAGCAATAGTCTAAAAGGCAAGATGGCCAGTAGCAAGAAGAATGCTAAACAAGAGTGAAGAAGGTTCCAAATGACACGGGTTTCCCAGGCCATTGTGTGGACATGGCTTTTTCTTCCTAGTATATATATGTGCAGCTATTATGGACTTTGGAGCACAGGTTTGGCATGATCTGATCAACTCTTGCTGTATTTTCCCTAGCTCCAACAGACCTGATATGAGATTATTACAGGCTCCTGTAATAATTACAATCTGAAGTAGAATGCAGTTCCTGATGGTTGGACCATGTCTTAAGCTATTTTTATATCTCCCAAACTGCTTCAGCTAATTTTTTGAAAAAAAGTTGCTTGTAGGATTAAATAAATTCAGCCTTTTCAAATAGTAAGTTGCAATAGTCAGTTTATGATAGCATAGAAAGAGCACTGAGGGCTCAAGTGGTAGAGCACTGGCTTTGAGCTGAAATGCTGAGGGACAACGTCCAGGCCCAGGGAAAGACCATTGGGATTTTACTTTACTTGGATTGTCTCCAGTTTTCTTTTGAAGAAAGCTTTTTCATTTTTAGACTGGAACCAACATTACCATAGTCTAGTACTTTCTTAGGTAGGATTAAGCAAGTAACAAATGTAACCAGATTGCTTGATCCATTTTCAAGAAAATGTTTATGGGGTTGCCTGAGGAAAGTACACGGTTAGCCCAGCGCCAGTGACTCACATCTGTAATCCTAACTACTCAGGAGGCTGAGATGTGAGGGTCATGGTTCAAAGCCAGCCCGGGCAGGAAAGTCCATGAGACTCTTATCTCCAATAAGCCACTAGAAAATCGGAAGTGGCGCTGTGGCTCAAGCTGTTGAGCCCTCTCTTGAGCAAGAGCTCAGGCCCAGAGTTCAAGCCCTACAACCGACAAAAAAAAAAAAAAAAAGAGGAAGAAGAAGAGCAACAAATTAGTTACAAAATCAGCCATCCATGTACAAACCAGATTTTTTCATTGGCCTATTTCTGTAGTTCTGCTTTGTTTCTCACTCATTGCCTTCTCACCATTCTCCACCTCTTCAAACAATACCTATATGGGCTCCATGACCTCACTGTAACATTTTGTTATTCAGTCCTTGTTGCATGCTCTCTACTGATACTGATGGTTATCCCTCACCCTGCATTCATAGACTTTGTTCCTAGACTTAGTTCTGCTTTTAGCCTTACCCCTACCACTGTTCTGTATATCTGCCTGAGTCAGCCTTATAAGTGAGACCTGTACTTTCTCGTCCATCCCTTGGTTCTTCCTGTTTCTTCTGTCTTGGACCACACACTAACTCGGACGGGGGGAATACATCTTTTTCATGTCTTTAAATCTACTCCTTTAGCAGCCGGATACAGAACTTTACCCATTGAGCATTTAGTAATTATGAAAATATGGGGACTATTTCAGAAGCAGTCGAATGCTATGGAGTATAAGAAGACAGATGCTCCTCAACCAGATGTCAAGGAGGAGGAAGAAGAAAAGGAAGAGGAAAAGGACAAAGGGGATGAAGATGAGGAAGGTGAAGAGAAGCTTGGTAAGAAGTAGTTTCCCAAAATCTCCTTTAAATGAAGAAACCGAGATATTGTTTTAAACCCTGATAAAGCAGGTTTATAAGTTATAGTAGAGAATATTTTAGATGATGCTGATTTTCTTAGTTAACAAATTTAAGGTTTTACTTATTCATATATATATATATATATATATTTTTGTTTTTAGAAGAGAAACAAAAAAGTGATGCTGAAGAGGATGGTGGCACTGTCAGTCAAGAGGAGGAAGATAGAAAACCTAAAGCAGAGGTAAAAGTTGGGTGGTGTGGTTCAGGTTGTAGAAACCAGCCAATGAGTAAAAGTGAGTGACAGACACAGAGTTCTAGTACCCTGTCTTAGACAAAAATAAAATTGTAAAAAGTTAGAATGCTTTTGTATTTCAAGTAAAGGGAATAGGAAAATTTACAATGGCTATGGCAGTAAAATATTTGTTAAAATGGGATTTTTGAATGTCGACAATTTGATAATTTTCAGCTACATCTGAACCTCAAAAGATTTTTCGTGTGTGTGTGTGTGTGTGTGTGTGTGTGTGTAGAAAAGAATATGCAGAAGCTGCAGGGGAAAAATAGTAGATACTT